CAGTCCCCCCTCCCTTTGCATCAGAGTCCCCCCTTATATCGGTGTCCCATCTTACATCAGAGTCCCACCCTTATGTTAGAGCCCCCACCTACATTGATGACCCACTTTAAATCAGAGTCCTCCATTAGATCGGGGGGGGGCCCCTTACATCCGAATCTGGGTCTCTGGGGACTCTAATGCAAGGGGGACTTTAATGTAAAGATTTGAGTTGATATTATGGTAAAGTGATCTACAATTTTGGTGTCAGATTTTGGAAAGGGGCGCAATTTCATTGGTTGCCATAGTCGCTATTTTATATAGATCCGCTTCTGGGTGAAGGCCCTTTTCTGTTCCAGCATCACTGTCCCCTGTGTGCAAAAGACAGCTTCATAAAGACATGGTGTGATGAGGATGGTGAAGAGGAACTCCATTGTCCTGCACAGAGCCCTGACCTCAACCCCACTGAACAGCTTTGAGATGAATTGGAATGCCAATTGTGAGCCGGGTCTTCTCATCCATCATCAGCACCTGACCTTATAAATGCCATTACGGCTGAATGGGCAGAAATTCCCACAGACCCACCCCAAAATCTTGTGAAACGTCTTCCCAGAAGATCAGAGCCAACTCCATATTAAGGCCCATGGTTTTAGAATGGGATGTCCAACAAACTCATATCGGTGTGATGGTCAGGCCTTCACATCTTTTATGCCATATAATGTACTCTAGTCCTTTATCAAGTTATAAAGTGATATTTATTTAAGTCAAAAGGATATTTAGCTATTTCAAATGCTGATGAAATAATTTACAATGGACGCTGCTACTCGATCTTTAAAAGTTTTAGCTTCCTGCAGAATCAGCTGATCCCCTGAGCACTGGCCCTGATATCTTGTTTTAGGGTGGCTCCTTTCCCTTGCAGAGTTCTATGGAGCCACTCTTGTGTGCACAGCAGGGCAATCCACTCCCCTCCTCCCTGCTTGTAGATGGACGGCTGCTGGGGACTGCTGTGTCCCTTGTGATCTTGTATTGGACAGGAAGTTCTGGGCAGCCAAGCTGAGAGAGTGGGAACTGTTCTGAAACATGATGACTGTAAGTGTTTGGGCAAAAATGTAAAGAAACATTTTGCTGGGTGATGCATATTTGTGAAATCCGTATTCATTGCTGAAAAAAAATGTGATAGTTTAATGCTAAAAGAAGAACTCCAGGAATGTAAAAAGTTAACCCTTCCAGTGTGGCTACCCTGCACTGCAAGAGCTAACTGCTTGCTTGGTCTAGGGGCCAGAATAAAGCAGATACGCTCGCCCGATCCTCCCCTCATGCAGTGGTATACATATTGGCATTCTCACATCTAATGCAAGTGAATGGACTGTATTAGACGTGATGTCGTCAGCAGGGATTAGACCACCAGAGCCTGGGGGAGAAAAGGCTGCGGGGACCGATCTAGCAGCCAGGTGGGACAGAGGATCAGGTAAATGTATCTTCTTTATTTTAGCCCCAAGACCAAAATGAGCAGTTAACCCGTGCAGTGCAGGGTAGCCCCACTGCAAAGGTTAATTTTTACAATTCCTGGAGTTACTCTTTAAAGGGACCCTAAAGGATAAGTGTATTTTGATCTAAAGTTTAGTTTTAAATTGCTTGAAATCTGTGCCTTTCATTAAAATAAA